CACCTCCCCAACATGTCACCTCCAAAATGTGTCACCTCCCCCAATGTCACCTCCATGTGCTGTCACCTCCACAATGCGTCACCTCCAAAGGTTGTCACCTCCTCAACGTGTCACCTCCCCAACGTGTCATCTCCAAAGTCTGTCACCTCCCCCGTCACCTCCATGTGCTGTCACCTCCACAATGTGTCACCTCCACAATGTGTCACCTCCAAAGTGTGTCACCTCCCCCCCACGTCACCTCTGTGTGCTGTCACCTCCAAAATGTGTCACCTCCATGTGGTGTCACCTCCACACTGTGTCACCTCCACAATGTGTCACCTCCACGTGTCACCTCCCCCCTATGTCACCTCCATGTGCTGTCACCTCCAAAATGTGTCACCTCCATGTGGTGTCACCTCCCCAACATGTCACCTCCATAATGTGTCACCTCCCCCAATGTCACCTCCATGTGCTGTCACCTCCAAAATGTGTCACCTCCCCAACGTATCACCTCCATGTGGTGTCACCTCCCCAACGTGTCTCCTCCCCCAATGTCACCTCCATAAGGTGTCACCTCTCCAACGTGTCACCTTCATGTGGTGTCACCTCCGCAACGTGTCACCTCCCCCCCATGTCACCTCCAAACGGTGTCACCTCCCCAATGTGTCACCTCCAAAGTGTGTCACCTCCCATGTCACCTCCATGTGGTGTCACCCCCAAAATGTCACCTCCCCAACGCGTCACCTCCACAACATGTCACCTCTCCCCCATGCCACCTCCATGTGCTGTCACCTCCAAAATGTGTCACCTCCCCTAATGTCACCTCCCCCTGGTGTCACCTACCCAACGTGTCACCTCCCCAACGTGTCACCTCCACTGCATGTCACCTCCACAGCGTCACCTCCCCCGTCACCTCCATGTGCTGTCACCTCCAAAATGTGTCACCTCCACACTGTGTCACCTCCCCAATGCATCACCTCCCCCTGGTGTCACCTCCAAAATGTGTCACCTCCATGTGCTGTCACCTCCAAAATGTCACCTCCACAACGTGTCACCTCCAAAATGTGTCACCTCCCCCCCATGTCACCCCCAAAATGTGTCACCTCCCCACATCACAAAGTGTC